ACTCACTACTTTAGCATATATATAAATTTTTTTATTTAAAATATTTGTAAATTTTACTTGTAAATTTATCATTTGCACGAATGTATTTTTTGAAACTTTGAAGCTTCAAAGGTACCTTAAACTTCGAAAGGTCGAAGTTAACTTCGAAGCTTCGAAGTCTTTCAAAGCTTCGAATATTCGAAGTAGGTGAAAAGTAACAGCCCTAGTACAAACGCTAACTACACGTAATGTAGATTCTTTATAACAGATTTATTTTATATTAGATATCTTTTACTGAGTATAATATTATAATAGTAATGTTAATTATTATAAAAAAAATTATAATAGTAATGTTAATTACTATATTATAACCCTCACGGACCTCTTAATAATGAAAGAGCCTACTCATTAATTATTTAATGGCTAATCAATAATGGCTTCATTCCCGATGCTAGAATTTGTATACTTATTAATGCATATAATAGATTTTGAACCAATAATAATTGCATATGTATTATGATTGCATTTAATATGTTATTTAACTGTATTAAAAGTATAATTTGAAATAAAATGCAATTGTAATACATAAATTCGTATACAATTAAAAATCCCTGTGTGTGCTTATAATGTATAGTATTTTATGATTATCTGATATAGTGGAGTATGTCAAGTATGTGGGCTCGGCTCGTGAAATTTACTGCGGACTATCCATGGATGTGGGCAGTGTACTTATTGCTAATTGCAATACCAGTATCGCTGTTAATGTATTATTGCTGCTTGTCCGAGGTATATCCAGTCAAAATAATTCAAGTATTCTTGAAAGAACAGAAAGTAGCTTATTTTTACAAATATTTAGAAATCCTAAAGTGAATATTTGATAATATTAGTTATTTTTGTATGCAGAATACAAGTTGTTATCCAGCATGTAATGCTATTTGCTTATTTGTTAACATTAGTATATAAATATAAAAATCTAAAAGTGAACCAAAATGTAATTTACATTGCTCTCAACATCTTAGGATCCAACAGATTTTAAAGATGAAGAAGAAAAGCCACTTTCAGGGATGGCTGATGATCTCGATGAGGCTATGGAGAGTAATGAAAATCAGCACTCTTTAAATCTTGAGATAGATGATCAAAAACCTATTATAGAAGAAATAGAAGATATAGAGAGAGAGACTGGAACGGAGGAAGTAATAGAAAGTGATAAGGTTGGTAACAGATTTTTAAGTGTCTTTTAGCAAGAATCATAATTTATAGTTTTTAACTTTTTCGATATACGCAATGTTTTTTGTTTTATTATAAATGATCTTCGGTTACGTGAAAGCGTATGATTATTCCAGGATGCTCCGCTGCTTAGTGGCGAAGGACCACGACGAAGAAAACCAAATAAAGAATAGAGAGAAGAATAATTATAAAAAAATTTAATAAGAATATTATCGCGCGTTAAGATATTTACCCAATACTATCACATTCCACATTACACTTGCCACTGTAGATAATAGGGCCAGTCACTAGCAAATTCATTCACTGCAATGTGATCGATATTTAATTGCTCGTCTAAGAATCTTTGACATTTGATATCGTACGAAGTCTTATATTAATATAATTGTGAGGAAATGTGTTTTCAGATTATACATGCGTATTCTCGGAAATTTACAATTAATGGAGCGTTTCTTTTTTTCCTTTAAAACGAACGATGTCTTAATAATATATAGTATTTATGTGTTTTTAGCTACAACATCGTGAAATGTTGTAACATTAAAGAACAGCATTTTACTCAGTTTTAATGTTACATATTTGATATTACAGTGGGACAAATTAGCAAAAGATAGTAAAGAAGTGATGAATGTAATATATGTGAATGCAATGTATGTACAATTTCACGTCCTAATGTAACTTAAAACGAATTTAATAATTACTATATTCTTCAACTACTATGGCAGAGTCCAATTTAATTGCGATGCGATGCAGATAATATTTATCCACAGAATGTGCAAAATCAGCTTGTGTTCCCGTAATTTTTTAATCTATATATATATATTCATAATCAATATATATATATATTCATAATTTATATATGTATCATTTTTTTCTAGCGATTATAAAAAATACCGAAAGAATACAATTGACAAGGTAGCTTTTAAAGTCATTGACGTAAAATGTAAACGGTATTTATCGACCGTACCATAGTAGTTGATAGTCAATGATTTGTTACTAATTATTTGGTGTAATATTCACGAACTTTAATGTGTTAAATGAGTTATTTAAGTTAGAGATAAATCCATATGGTACATATTGTAATCAGGTACTACGTTGTTTGTGTATTGATCGATTGCGAAACGAAATAAAATTCGAAGAAATATAGAAAACAGCTAAATATTGAAATTTGAATAATACGATATTGCTCGATACATGTACTACGTTTCTTCGCTGTTTCGTTCAAAAGACATGTGTGTACAAATACAGATTGTAAGCATAAAACGGTGTCTACAATGAGATTTTAAGACGTAAAACTTAAGCCATAAGAAATTAATTAATCACAGACGAATATGAGGAGAATAATCGACTATGTTTGGTCAATTTCTTACGGCTTAAGGCTTAAAGCTTAAGCTTTACGCCTTTAAAATCTTATTGTAGATACCGCTTAAGTCGGCATTAAATTAAATAAAGCGCGGCTCTAAGGACTAGTGGCAGACATGCCGAAATTTTGATAACACGATTTGCAGGTGGGTACGGCACGTTGTGACAGATGTCCAGGTAACTTGGTGTGCACCGCCATGCATCTTGTACACAATACATCACCGCAGGACCAACAATGATGCTGGAACAGAATAATTGCAAAAGATCGAATCGTTTCAACCAAGCAAACACATAACTGCAAGGTTGCAGCAACATTGTAACATTTCAGCTATATTGTAGAAATATTACAATGTTGTTGTTATATATTGTTGTTGCAATATTACAATATTGCAGTTACAATCTGTGTTTGCTGGAAACTTGCAAAAGACGCAATCGTCAGCTGTACCTTTTTGTTAAAAGCATCGAACGTGGTGGAGCAGCCACATTCTTCCATATTTCGCGACGATTTCCATTCCAAGGCGACCGTCTTCAATTCATTTTCCAATTGATTCGCTTTTAGTTTAGCTCTCGTCTTCTCGTCGTGATTTGCGGTGTTCTCTATTATAGTCTCCGACAACGATTCCTTCATGAATTTATTGTCGAATTTATGCTTTCCCTTCTTTTGAGCGTTATTCGGAGCGGTATTTAAAAGTTGCCCCAACGAACTGACTCGCTGTTGAAGAAGATTAGAGTACAGATGTAAACGAGGGATGAACATTAATTTTTAGATAAAATATATTTTTTAAAACATCCTCCACTTATTTGTGACCAAATTGTGATACGTACTTTTAATAGAAGCTTCACATGATCCTCCAAAGAACTCGTGTGATCGTGAATCGTCAGAATTAAGTCTTCGCACGTTTCCCTAGGATGTATTCCATTCTCGAATCTGAAGTACAGGCCTCTCCACAGACTGGAAAATAATACGGTTTGCACTCAAACTACGTGACTGGCATCGAATATAAATCGTTGCACAAAAGTTACATGTTTATTACACGATAGACTGAGGTGCCAATTTTGGTTGAAGAATATCAGCAGATTCCTCGTTGTTGTAACGATTGCACCTGTAGATTGAATTTATATACTCATTCATATTGTTCGCCAAGTAGCCCCACAACGAGTACGTTCGCTCGGATAATCTAAAATAATAAATTTATACTCGTCATAACTTTTTTCGTTTACATTTATCGTGAGGAAAGAGATTGACATAAAGATGCAGTACCTTAACATTTGCCTTTCTTTCTCCGAATTTCCGATGAACGTGCCGTATTGACAACTGTGTACATGATCGTGTAACGTTAAAAGGAAATATTCGTTGAATTGAAATTTATATGGATATTGCTGTAGTAATTGGTACGTCGCATCTATAAATTGTGTAAATATCGGCGCGAGTTCTTTACCGTCGTTACTGACATAGCCGCAACGGTCACTAAATTTATGACCGAACGAGAGCCAATCCTTTTCTATTAAAGCCTGTTAAAAAAAATTGTTTAATCATTTATTAAACGAGATATGTAAATTTAATCAAATAATTATAAACGTAGAAATTTGAACAAACGGTTATTGAATTACTTACTTGAAAGCCCTGAATAGTTCTGTAAAATGGATCCAACAGCAACGCAGCCAGAGAGCACACTTGCGCAGTGCGATCCCATCCGTCGCTACAATGCACTACCACGCTCACGCCGTTCGAAACTGCCCGTGCGATGAACCAAGCAGTTTCCAGGATGGAACGAATATGCTTGAGCCAACCGCTGCTCTCTAAACCACTCACGAATGCACTCATGGACGTTGATCTTTGCACTGAGTTCAAATATAGATGGAAAGTTAATAATTATATGAGAATTGATTTTTTGCGCACAAACTCCACAAGAATTTTATACTTACGGTCCAAAAGCTTATTTAAACTCGTTCTCATTACATGAATGTTCTCTATGCCGAAGAAATGAAATTTGATATTGTCGTAGAAATTCTCGTTCTCATATCCCTTTCCTGCAGCTCTGTTAGCGAAGGCATTGATCTAATCCAACAGAATGAAGTTTCGTTTTTTTTGCTTTTAATGATACCTTACATCAGTTTAGTATAACTATAAAATCGTTTATTTGTGGAAAGTGGTACTGGAACTGTAATTTTTTTTTTAATTAACAAAATGTGCTTACTTCACAGATACAAGCAATGTTTCCTACTTTCAATTCTTAAGAATAAAAAAAAGTAGATATAATCATATATCTACTTTTTTATTCTTAAGAATAAAAATCAGTAGAATTAGATCGGATATTCAATTGGAAAAGGACCTATACATTTTTAATCGTATACTCACCCGCGGCCTTGTATCGACAACATACATGTACCGCGAATTAGGATTTGTACACAGTATGTGATGCATCATTTCCTCGTCTTCGGGGCACCGCGCGCTAAATCCCGAGAGCGGTTGACTGCAGCGGCAAATGGCAGCCTAAAAGTCATCTTATTTGAAAAGACCCTCATTCAGTTAAATAAGTTTAACGTTAATATCATTTTGCTCGAACCTTGTTCGAGTGCAAGTACGTCAAAACTGGTAGCCTCCCTCTGCTTCTGAACTTCGCGCTGCCTAATAAAATATTTTTCGTAGATGCGCTCGGGACGTATAAGTACCTTGGATAAGTATCGCAGAGCTGAAAGAATCGGTAGTTTAGTAAAAGTAGTTTAGTTTATTGACATTTTTTGAAATGCGAAAGAGATTTGAGATGAAAATATACAATAGATATTCACCTCATAATTAGTATTTAAATACGAAAGCGACCACTCCTCGTTCGGGACGCCTTGCCGTTGAAATTCACTCTGCACATTGAAGAAATTCCATCCGGCATGCTGAGGTAGCGTATCTTTATTCTCTTGGTAATTGAAGCAATATAAATCTTCTACACTAGCTGTATTAAAATAAGACCAATGAAAACAAAAAAATTATGAATATAATTCTTTAAGTTATCAATAAATATCTTCGAATCTGTGCAAAAATATAATATAATACAAATGTAGTAGCTTGTGTTACCTGGGCAGGATAATTTCAATAATGTGAGATAAATCTCGTGACAATCGCGTTCCTTCGGGATGACAAATGTGACAATGAAAAAATGCTTGCACTTAATATACAACGGCGAGCCTGTGGTCGTCAATGGCTGTTTCTCTATGTTAGAGATATGTGTGTATAACACCTGCGATTATGACATTGGGAAACATTACTTTCAAACGTAAACTCAGTAATTTTTATTAGACCGATATTGATTTACCCATATCTTCTTTTTGCCGCTCCTTTCGACAAAGATGAGATGAGTCACCGTCAGGTAGAGCGTGCCGATGGAATGATTATTGCTATATTTATCTAGCATCCTCACGTTCTCTACCTGCAAAATACACTTCCCTTTTGAAGGCTTATATTATACGTGCAAATATAAAAATATAAAGACATTTTTCAACATTGCGATTTTTATTTCGATATATATAATTCAATGTAAGAGGGTCAAAATAAATAGATAATTAAAATTATAAATGTAATTATAAATGTGTAATAATTGCTACCATCGTCAATTCGTTACTAATAAATCACAGAGTACAATGAATATCGAATCAAAAGTTACCTTAGGGACCTTTATCTGATCCATTTTTGTGGCCTTAAGAAAAATCGTACGCGCGATATCAGATGGCTTTATTTGATTTAGGCGATTGCAATCGATTGGCACACGCACACGTATATATCACCCGAGCTTCATGACAGCGACAGATTAAAAAATAAACATTTGTTCCAAGCGTAGGTGGACACTTGTCAGATATCTTAAGCTAATAGGCGAGGTTACACATACTACTCCCATTCACTCCCATTCCCTTTGAAAGTGACAGATGGTGACAGATTGCGGTATGCGTGTGTGCAACAGTCGATCCGCTTCGTATTGATATACAGACGAGGCGAAAATTTTTTTCAACGAGTTTCGGAACGCGGTCGTAAACGAAAGATGGTGGCAAGAAGGGGCTGATACATTGAAATATAATACTGGAAAATTGGTTATCGGGAGTTTTTGAGGTTGCTGATTACGAATCTGAGATCAAAATTTAGAAATTCAAAATGGCGGATTCAATATGGCCGACTCGAATTTAAAAAACAAATTTTATGAAAATTATCTGGGGATTCTCGGAGTCGCTGATTAGTCGAATCTGTAATCAGATTCCCAAAATTCAAGATGACGGATCCAATATGGCGACTGTAATTCGAAAAACAGTGTTGATCCATTATAAAATCGCTGAACCCCCAGATATATATTTTCATAAAATTTGCATTGTTTTTCAAATTCGGGTCCGTCATATTGGATTCGCCATCTTGGATTTCAAAAATCCGGCCACGAATTTGTTATCAGCGACCTCAAAAATCCTTGAGGGAAGATCTTTGCGTGGAAACTTTGAGAACTTTCAGAGATAATGAATTTTCTCCAGAAAAATGGCAATTTTTCAACGTTTGTTTATTCGTATAAACAAAATCACCCATGATTTCAAATTATTGCACATCGATTCTTATGCTTGAATGTATAACTGATACCAAAATTCAAAAACAAGTTCGAAAATTGAGTGAAAA